CGTCGACGACAAGCGCTCGGTGATCGTACGTGACGGTGGCTGCAAACGACGTCGTAGCTGCAACCAACCAACAAACCAATAGCAGAATCTCTGTTCTCCTCATTTCGGAAATCACAACAGTACAATCTCACACGTAAAATTCCCTGCTTTTTTTTTCCTTTTAAAGATTAAAAAAAACCCCCACTTTCTTGAATAGTGGTTAAGCTAAAATGAGTCGGAAAACACAACTCAGCTTCTTCTTTGGAACAATTTTTTTGCTTTTGGATTTGGGTTGATGCCTTTCTACTGTTTCTGATAATATGTGTTGCTTGACCGCTTTATATAACAAAATCGAAACACTTTAAGCTACCTCATTTCTTTACACACCGGAGAGTGCACGCCACTGCTACTTCACCATTTCATTCTCATCATCTTCTTCTAATTTATTAATATTAATTTCTTTTTTTTTTTATGGTTTGGGTTTGTTTCGTTGATGGATAATTATGGCGTTTTATAAGATTTGCAGAGGGAGCAGTAGTAGTAGTCAGAAGCGGCTAGCGCCAGTGAAGAAAGTGAAGTGGAGAAATATATCAGGTGCTGCTAGATATATTGCAAGGATAATGCACCTGCCGATCTTTTTGCCACGTGTCTTTACTGACATGTATGAGGCGTAATAATCGCAACCGCACGTAAGCCATGATTCTTCTGCTCAAGGTTTCAAAGTTTCAACAATTGTTCATGTAACGAGCAATGTATCATAAGGGCATCTACATATTTTTTAAATCACAATTCATAATAATAAAAAAAATTAAATTAAATGTTATTTTTTAAAATAATTAAATAAATCAATTAAATTTAGAATTCAACGTCATAATTTTTTTATCATTTCATTAGGATAATTCACAGTTAATGAATATTTTTTATTTAGAACATATTTTAAAATAAATTAATTAATTATTAATCATTAATTTGATTATAAAAAAAATTACCACATTCATTGAATAATAAAGTTTGTGTTAACAACATAAATTTTTTTTTTTTGTAAAAAAATTTAAAGGCAGATAAATTATTCAATCACACAGATCAAGATAAGAGGTATTATACTTAATAATTTAAGATAAGTGATTGTAAGTTGTACATTCGAAATAATCCTAACAAATGATCATTGACAATACGTGACTTTAAAATTTTTTCGTTGAGGAGAATGATCTTAATCGATTGAACTAATAATTTGTTAGTAACAATATAAATTATTATCATTTACATGAATGTTAAAATTTTTAATTTCACGAACAAATTTAAACAAGTTATTACACATTCAATGTAATTAAAACAAATTTTTAAAAATTTATCTCATATACAGCTGTAATTAAAACATATAAATCTATTTAATAATGATGATTTTAAAATTATTAATATGTTTAAGCTAAGACTTCTAGAATGTAAGTATATATATGATAATAAATTGGTAAGATGATGAGTGGGTGAGTATTTAACTCATAATGGATAATATATACAGCTGTAATTAAAACATATAAATCTATTTAATAATTATGATTTTAAAATTATTAAATGTTTAGGCTAAGACTTCTAGAATGTAAGTATATATATGATAATAAATTGGTAAGATGATGAGTGTGTGATTTTTTAACTCATAATGGATAATATATACAGCTGTAATTAAAACATATAAATCTATTTAATAATTATGATTTTAAAATTATTAAATGCTTAAGCTAAGACTTCTAGAATGTAAGTATATATATGATAATAAATTGGTAAGATGATGAGTGTGTGATTTTTTAACTCATAATGGATAATATATACAGCTGTAATTAAAACATATAAATCTATTTAATAATGATGATTTTTAAATTATTACTATGTTTAAGCTAAGACTTCTAGAATGTAAGTATATATATGATAATAAATTGGTAAGATAATTAGTGGGTGAGTATTTAACTCATAATGGATAATACCATGCAGACGAGGGTCATAATCATACCACAAAATAGTATTATTTGCGTGTGCTATTTGTATTCACATTCATCGTGATGGTAACTAAAAACTACTGTATTTTTATATTTATTTTTTATTTATTTGAAAAGTATTTGAAATGAAATCTCCTTACAACTTTTTGGTTCATTATCATCATATCTTAATAGTTAGAAAATATGACTTTGAATTTGTAATTTCATATTTAACTTCTGAAAATAAATAAATGTATATAATTTGACGTGAAATTATTACTTTCCATTCTATATAAAAATGGTTAAAATATTAAAAAAAATCTTATACTTTTCAAATTTATTAAACAAATTTTATTTTTTAATTTAAAATTATCATGAATTGATTTTTTATTACTAAAATTAAAATTTTAATATTTTACTAATAAATTATATGATTGTTAATATAAACCCTTGTTCTGTTATTGTTGTATTCCATTGAAATTTTAAAGTATAATTTTTATTTAATGAAGTTTTTATTTTACATGAAAATCACTAAAATTTGTTAGACAAACGAGAATTTATAAAAGAATTTAGTATTTTAAAGGTTTAATTAGATAAAAATAATATTTAAAAAAATAAATAAAAATAATATTTTAAGATTAATTGGGTATACAAAATTTAAAATTATATAATAACTTTTGTAATATTTTAATCAAATAATTGATTGCGTTAACGTTGTTTTTTTATTAATTATCGGTTATAAAAAAATTAAAATATACAACGATAGGAACAGATATGGAAAGCTTTATGATTTTAACGTAACGAAGTCATTGAAAATCATAATTAAAAATTTCCACACCTAAATTTTAACTATGAAACTTTGAAGAAAGTACTCCTACTTCAGCTAGAAAAAGACAAATGTCGGCGGGAGACATGGGCGTGGGAGTTCGGGCTCAGTGGTCACAGGACTCAGGGCTTTGAATTTTGACGGATCATACTCCATGGACTGAGCTGGTCAGTCTAAGTTCCATTACTTCTATTCAAGTGCCTGGAATTTTTTAATAAAAGCTTTCTTTTTTTTTCTCATTCATGTGATATTAAATTATAATAAAAAATTCATTTTATTTTATATGCCAATTAGATCAGCATATAATTTTAAAACTTTTTTTAATATAAAAAATGAAAAAATAAAAAATTAAGTTAATAATTAGTTTGTTATAATCATTTTCTTATTTTTTAATTTAATCATTAAATTAAAATTTTTTATTTTTCCTACCAAATCAACAAAATTCAAGTGTTTGCTCTACTTGGCGATTGTGAACCACAACGAATCAAAGTAGAAAAGAAATTGAAGACAACTCAAGCCCGTGAAGATGTAGAATGATTTTATAATTAGGTACAGTGTCTAACATAACTAGTATTAGTATTATTAATTAATTAATTATAGGAGGATTAGAAGTATTTATCAGAGTGTATTAATAATTTAATATAGCAATGGGCATTTATTAAATTAATTAATGCAATAATAATAAAAAATAATAATGTCATGATTGGACAATAAAGGTGACGGTCGGACGTGTCTTGGGCCAAGTGCATTTGTATTTGGAGTTTTTCGGTGTTTGCTGTCCTACATTTTCATTCCAAAAATTATTAGAACTTTTATTTGTTTATTTATTTATTTACGTTTGGCTTTACTTTAATCTTTTTTTTGTATCTCTCGTCAGTCCATAACCAAGGGGGCGAGACGCCAAAGGGATCATATGATTTCTGTGAATTAGGCAAAAACTCCAAAGTAGGTTTGTCATCATTTTTTGTGGGAGTGTGAACTGCCAATGCCATTCCTTGCCCAAAAAAATAATATATTGTTGTATGAAAATGATTACTAATTTTGGAAATTAAAATATAAAATTTTTCCATAACTCTAATGGAGAGCCGTTGTCAACATTTTCTTTATTTTTATATATAAAAGAATCATGAAGATAAAAAAATTATAAATATTAAAATTAAAATTAAAATCAATGAAATATTAATTTTAAAAAATAATTGCGCAAAAAAATAACATTTGAAAAGAGACGAGAGAGAAGAGTAGCAAATTACTACAAGCCCAAGCATGAGAAAATGATGTGAGATTATTACAATTCACAAGCCATGTGCAGCCAGAGGCGAATCTGAGGGGGGTGGGGTGGCAAGGGCCCTGAAAAAGACTTTTGGCATTTGACTGAGAATAGCCGCATGCCTGGTGGGTTTTTTCTTTTTTTGTGTTTTAGAAGTTAAAAAATTAAAAATTATTGTATTTGATTCCATTTAAATTTATTTTTTATTTGTTTTAGATTAAATTTAGATGATAAATATATATTATATTTAAATTATATTTTGAATCAAAATAAAAAATAAAAAAATAAATCAAATTATATATTTTTTAAATTTTTATAAAATAAAAATAATTATACATTTGTTGACTTGGGTGGCTACCGGCCACTGCTTTAGGCTTTTGGTTAGGTTTTGGTCCTTGGAAAAGTCTTTTGGGGCGGTGCCATAATACGATCGGGATAAGGAGAGTGGTCCTCTCCTCTCATCCTCCGTTGCTTATAATATGTCGTTGTTAATGTGTTAATTGGTACATCCAACAAGCAATCAAATCCCAAGCCCATGTCCAACCGCTTCATGTTGGCCAAATGCTGAGAATTGACAAAGATGCCTATAAAATCTAACCACCCCCACAATTTATATATCACACTCTCGTCACGGAATCCCTAGTTAAAGCTACAACCGTCCAAAGTTGAAACAAAATTTTTGACTGCTGATTTTGAATAAAATAATAAATAATTAATAATTTTTTTATATTTTAATCATCCCGTCATTAATAAATAATTAAGTCATCAACATTCGCATATAATCTAAAATAGATAATTAATTATTCAATTAATCACATCATCATCCATAAAATATATAAAAAAAATTAAATTAAATATGCAACTATTCTCATCACTTTATCATTTTTTGCTATATTTTTTTTCTTTCACTACTTTTTTTCTTTATGCTTCTTAAATATTTTACTGAGCATTAAAGCACATTCCAAACTTTCAACTCCAACACCCTCAATTTTTATTTTTATTTTTTTGATATATTTGATGTGTTCAGCAACTTAATTTCTAACTAGATTTTTTCTCATCAAACTCAGAAGTGCATTAATAAAAATAAATTTTAAAATGTTAATACTTATTATTGTAATAGGATGTTTGCTACATTAAATTTATATAAGAATTTCTGGCCAAAAGATTGATATCAAAATTGTATAAAATGGTGTTAATTTATAGCAATTTTTTTTTAAATACCTTTTTTGCAGGTTCTTTAAAATTAGGCTGAATGGATGTTCTATTATTCTGGGTTCTATTATGGGCTCTTTTCTTCGTTTTCGAGGCTGGGCTTTCCTTGGCTAATGGCTGGCTGGGCTCTTCCACTCCCTACCTCTTTTTATTTTCTCATCTCACAGCTCCACGTTCCAGTGCTTCGTCATTCGCTACATTTCCATCCACCGTCAAGTCCTCTTGTTAGGTTGCTGCAAACCGACCTCTTCTTCGAACCCTCGTACCGGTAGCAGGCGGCTGACCTCCGACATCATCTCGGTTCTCGTCTCAGTTTCTTTGCAAGGTCTCTTCTTTCTTCTCCTTTGGCAGGGTTAGTTCATCAATTTTTCTTTCATTTTCTTCTCTTTCTTGTTTTCAAATTCTAAGATTGTTGGCATTTCCTGAATCATGTAATTTACTTCACGTAATTGTTACACTGAATATAGAGTTGGAAACACCATTATTGTATGATTTCACTCCAAGTGTTCGGTATAATTTCATAATGAAAAAGCTTGAAATTCTTTTTTTTTTTTTGTAAAAGAAAATAAAGTTATATATGAATGAAAAAGGAAAAGAATTAAATACGATTGTACCCCGAGTTTTTGATTGAAGACCTAAACTAAAATTAGGACATAGTATTTGAGAATTTTCTTGACTGATATTGGAAAAATTCTATCACAGTTACTACTTTACAACTGCGTTTACTGCTGTTTGTTTTATGCCAGAATGTAATGTAGTGGTTTTAGTAGATAAATAATTGTGATTTTAATCATCGTTTGCTCATATAGGAGTATTTGTTTTCATTGGGAAATGCTTGCAGGTATGGCAGATTAATAAATTTGATTTGAGGAATGATGCACTTGATGTTTGTATGTGCTTGGTTGTTGATTTATGTTATGATTAACTATCCCTAGAATAAAAGCTTCTTATGTTGACCTTTTGTCTATTATTTTCAAACGTAGTGCAGTTAAATATGTGTGACTTCCCATGAGTACATGTAAAAGGAAGATCATAGGGATGATTTCTGGCTGGAATTTAAGGATGCTATAAGAACAACCAACAAAATGTCGTCTTTTTCAGATGATAAAATCTTGTAAAGGTGGAAGCAGTTTTTCATGAACTTGGTGGGAGTTTCTTTCTGTAAGCAGCGCTGCTTCTCCTCCTCTTCAACATCGTCATCTTCGCTTCCATGGATCTCCCCTCTTCAATTCCTAAAAGCCAATGCCCCAAAACCAGATCCTCCTCCAGAAACCTCACATACCTTTACGGAATCTCAAAGGAAATCAAAGTTTATCTCTCACGAGGCTGCCATCAACTTGATCAAACGTGAGAGAGATCCACAGCGGTCCTTAGAAATATTTAACAGGGTATCAACACAGAAGGGCTTTAGTCATAATAGTGCCACCTATGGGACCATCCTTCATAAGCTTGCACAGTCAAAGAAGTTTTGGGCCATTGATGCAATTCTTCGACAAATGACCTATGAAACTTGTAAATTTCATGAAGGCATATTCCTCAATCTCATGAAGCATTTTTCAAAGTTTTCTTTACATGATAGGGTACTTGAGATGTTCCATGCAATTCAACCAATTGTTCGTGAAAAACCCTCACTGAAAGCTATCAGTACTTGTCTTAATCTCCTGATTGAATCAAACCAGGTTGATTTGGCCCGAGATTTTCTTTTGAACGCCAAGAAGTCTCTCAGGTTGAGACCCAACACATGCATTTTTAACATCTTGGTTAAACATCATTGTAAGAATGGAGACCTTGAATCTGCCTTTGAAGTTGTAAAGGAGATGAAAAAGTCCAAGGTTTCTTATCCTAATCTGATTACCTACTCAACCTTGATGGGTAGTCTCTGTGAAAGTGGAAGACTTAAAGAGGCAATTGAATTGTTTGAGGAAATGGTTGCTAAGGATCAGATATTGCCTGATTTTATAACCTATAATATTTTAATTAATGGCTTCTGTCGTGAAGGGAAAGTTGATCAGGCCAGAAAGATAATGGATTTTATGAAGAACAATGGATGCAGTCCTAATTTATTCAATTACTCTTCCCTAATGAATGGGTTTTGCAAGGAAGGAAGATGGCAAGAGGCTAAGGAGGTTTTTATTGAGATGAAGAGCGTAGGTCTGAAACCTGATACAATTGGGTATACTACATTGATTAATTGCCTTTGTAGGGCTGCTCGAATTGACGACGCAATGGAATTGCTTAAAGCAATGAAGGAAAAGGAATGCCAAGCTGATGTTGTGACTATAAATGTATTACTTGGGGGATTATGCAGAGAAACTAGGTTTGAAGATGCATTACAAATGCTCGAGAAACTGCCATATGAGGGTGTTTACTTGAACAAAGCAAGTTACAGAATTGTATTGAATTCATTGTGCCAGAAAGATGAAATGGGGAAGGCAAATAAGTTGTTGGGGCTGATGCTGGATAGGGGGTTTTTCCCACATCAAGGAACTTCAAATGAGATGTTGATTCGCCTTTGTAAAGCTGGAATGGTAGATGATGCAGTAACGGCTTTGTTTGGATTGGCAGAAACTGGGTTTAAACCTGAACCACATTGTTGGGAGTTTCTGACTGAAGTGAATTGCAGAGAAAGGAAGTTACTGTTTGTTTTTGTACTACTGGACGAGTTACTAATAAAAGAATCAGGACATTAGATCATTTTATTAGTTAAACTAGGCAAAACCGGAGCTGCATCAGTGTGTAATAATATTTGTTGAATTTATTCTTCTGAATCAAATTAAATTGCCATAATTGCATGCAAAACTATCATTTTGTTATGCAACAAATACTTAGTTGCTGCGCGTAACCATTTGGGTTTTTTATAAAAGGCGCATGTATTTTTCGATTGAAGCCGATTTGGTTGAAAAAGAAAGCCATGATCAGAGTTCAGCAATATTTTCTGAAAAGAGAAAGTGACTTCGTTATTAAAAAAATGTTATTTAACATTTTAAAAGTAGCATTTGTTGTCCGAAAAGATTTTTCATTAATAACTATAATGTTTTTTATGTCAAAAACATTAAAAACAAATGATAAAACATTCCATAGGTGATAAAGTAATTTTTTTTCGTAACCAATGCATCGTAGTCGACATTTTAATTATGAAAAATGTTGTGGTTGCTAGTTTTATTAACCATAATAAATATTTTTTCTATAAGCAATTATGATGTTTTGTTCATGAAAAAAGTTGTAGTTGAATGTAATTACCACGTTTTGCTCATAAAAAATATCTTGGATGATTGTTTTGTTTATGGTAAAAAACTAATTAATAATTAGGGTGTTTAGTTCCTTGCAAACATCGTATTTGATAATAAAAAAAAAAGGTTGAATGTAATTACGATGTTTTGCTCATAAAAGATATCTTGGTTGATTGTTTTGTTCATGATAAAAAATTAATTAATAATTAGGGTATTTAGTTTTCTACAAACATCGTATTTGATAATGAAAAAAATTAATATTCAAATACTATGTTAACCTTCTAAAAAAACGTAGCATTTAAGCTATTAGTTTTTTAATATAATGTTTGTAAATAAAAATTTATTATTATGTTTCTTTATATTAGTTGGTTTTCAAAAAGATAAAATAAAATGATATAATTTTTTATTTAAATTAATTATGTTAAAATAATAAATTTTCTTTCAAATCTTAAAAAATCATAAAAAGAGGTAAATTTTTTATTCAAAAATTTAAGATTAATTTCCGGAGTTAAATACACATAAATTAAACGTAAAAATCACATTTTTACACATAAAATTTTCAAAAAAAAATCATATTCTCCAAATCAGATATTCCTTTAAGAAATGAGTTCGATTTAAAAAAAAATAGTGCAATAAATTCAAGGCCGGCCCATCTCAAATTCTAAAAGATGAAAAGATAAAGCCCAATCTATAAAGCCAAGAAATCAAAGCTCACTTTCGCGTTTGGAGTTCAGAGAGAGAGGGAGCGCCATGGCCACCTCCAAGAAACCTAAAGAAGCAGAGAACAAGAAGAAGAGCAACAGCACCCCTGTCAAAGAGACAAAAAATCCCATAAAAAGACCAGACAAGAAAGCAAGTGCCACGAAAAAACCTGACAAATCAAAGCCAAAGTCGAAGCCGAAGCCAAAGTCAAAGCCAGACAATAACAAAAACAAGAGCAGCAATGGAACCCTGGTCGAGTCCGAGGTTATTGCTGACCTATCTGCAACCACTGAATCAAAAGAACAAGAAAATGGAAACAAGAGCAACACGAATGTTAAACCCAATAAGAGGAAACAAAAGGAAAAAAAAGAAGAAGGAGAGGAAGAAGAATCAAAGATGTGTAGGTTTCCTATGAGGAGAATAAAGAGGATAATTAAGAGTGAGGATTCCCGTATGGCTGTTTCTCAAGATGTTGTCTTTCTTGTAAATAAAGCCACGGTAATTCCTTTTTTCTCTGTTTATTTTTTGGAATTCCATTAGGGTTTGTTTGAATGCAATGCTTGACAAGAAATGGAAACTAAGAAAGTGGATTGAAAAAATGTATTGAAAAGTTGGGGTTTTTCCCCCTAATTGTTGGTATTAATTCTTTGCTTCTAATTCTTCTCAAAGTTGGTCTTTTTTATGTTCTTTATTGTTCAAGATTATTGTTCTTTTGTGTAATTCTGTTGTTTCTTCTTCTATGTGGAAAATGGTATGAGCATTGTTTGCCCCAATAGTGATTCATTTTATTTCTTTCTGTGTTTGAACATGTTATTTCAAGTCTAAATATGTTTTGATTCTTGCAGGAAAAATTCCTTGAAGAATTTTGTGAAGATGGATACAAATGCTCCGTGGAGGATCGCAAGAAATCTCTTAGTTACAAGCACCTGGGTAAATGACCTTCCGTCCTCCTTGCATATATTATTTTCTGTGCTGGTTGTATCCTGCAGTGTTGTAGTGTCTTGAAAATGTAGAATTTTGCAGGAACCATAACTTACTCTACCTTATTGGTATTTGCTCCTAAACAACACTAAATATTGTGAGGATCAAAGGGCGTAATGTCTTCCTAGTAAAGATAGGGATAGGAACTCTGATGGTAACTTACCGGTTGTTCCTTTAGATCTGTTTGTTGTCCACAAAGATTGGTATTTTTGTTATAATAGTGATTTTAAAATAAAAATTCAAAATTCTTATGGAATGTGATACTGCTATTCCATTCCCATGGTTTGATAGCCAAGAAGAAGGTTTTCTTTGGATGAGTTTAGAAAAATTTACTAGTTGCTATTTACTAGAGTTAAAATCTGTTTATGTGGATCAGAGTTGTACATTTATAGTTATTTCTATAATTTATCAAATTTTATATTCTGCTTATCTACGTAGGGGCCTGCTGGTAAGGACTGCTATTGTCTCATTAGAATTGAAATTTTTGGGTAGTTGGATTCCACCATTCGTTCTTCTGATATTCTCTGTTGGATTTTAGGATTTGAAACTTTAATCTGGCATTTCTCTGCACGATTACAAATCTCAAATATCTTGATAAGCAAAATTTCCTTTCATTTCGTGTGATTGATGTACATCTTATGGGTGCTTGAAATCATATTAAGATGCTCTAGATGTCTTTTCCATACATTGTTCATCCAGAATTTAATAGATTATGAGTATATATTTGAATGATATCAAGTTTTTGTTTCTTGAAAAGTGGATCTTAGGCAACCCCATGTTGCTTTTATCCCGTTGTTCAAACAAGTTTTAAAAGACTTTGATGTCATTAATGCAAAAAGCTATTCCCATATTTAACTAAAGTATTATTAAGATGCTCCTATTGTCTTTGCAGCAACAGTTGTCCATGGACAGAGTAGATATGACTTTCTATCAGGTACTGCTCTCTCTCTTATTCATTTGTTTATTTATGTTTGGCCAATGGCTGGGCTACCAAATGGTGGGTAACCTCTCCACCTTCAACCTGTTTATATATGTTGAGGGTGGATTCACTTCCTAGTCCTTCATGGACTGCAGAAGAACTTTGCTGGCTAAACTAACTGGCATGGTGGCACCTTTCTAGTGCCCTCTCTAATTCTCTTTGGCCACTATCTCCCAAAAGTTTCACACTTGCAAGCTTTTTCCACACTCACCAACAATTATTTGCATTTGCTGGAACCTTTTTTTTTTTTTGTGTTTCTAGATTATGTCCCTGAGAAAATAAAAGCTGAAGATGCATTGAAGGAGACAAATTTGACTGAGACAGGGGCAGGATAGGACCTTGGCATACATACTAACAGTGATGATGATCCTGCACTGACCTGCTTTAAGTGTGGTCAGTGCTCGTCATTGTCGTGTTTATGATTGACGGTTGGAAGAGGATATTGCTGTGGCATAACTTCTTTCATTAACATGGATTTGATCCTTGAGTCAGTGAATCTCTCTCTAACATGAATTAATGCATGTCCATACTTGTCTGTAATTAGATAATTTGCATATTCAGCTGGTGAAGTGATGAGTATCTTGCTATTATGATGGTTGGTTAGTCACAAAGATATTTTGCCTAGTTCAAATATATCCTGGGTGATAAATTTCGGGCACTTAATTTATTGCTTTTACATCATCACTTGACATAAAATTGTTATTAATGGTCTGAGCACATTAGGTTTGATTCTGGGTATGTATTCCAAGGTAATGACTGAGCAGGGAACTGATAGTGTTAGGAGTTTTATGATAGCTTCTTCTCTAAGCAAAGTATGAAACTGTTGGTTCAATATTTGCCCAACAAATTTCAACCCGTAATTAAGCTGAAGAAGCAAAATACAACAGGCGCTGGGCAGGTGTTCCGAAGAAGCAAAATGCTCAAGCCATCTTCATGTGTTTTAGTTTTTACCATCTGTATATGCTTTGACAATAGCTCACTTCCCACGTCTTTAAATGCCCTCTAACACCTTTGATGCCATTGCCAACATTACATGTTCAATTTTCCCTCAATGTAAGAAAAAAAAAGTAATGATTATCGTATATATCTTTGCAAGATTCTTGGACCCCATGAATTATATCATTGCTTAAACTCTCTAGGTAGCAAAGCCTCTATTTTTTGGTCCATTGCACTATTTACCATTGCTCCCAAGAATTATGCGAGTGAAAACTAGAAGAAAGAATCTTACTTTTTACCTTAAATTATGTTTCTAATTGGATTATAATGCTATGACAAGATAAAAATTTAGTAGATAAATCTAACAATTTTAATATGATACAATGATATGATATAAAAATTATACAAAAAAAAAGATATGAAAACAATAGTGTAAATTTTTTATAAAAATCATAAATGGGTTTGATTAAAAATTTTTTTGTTTGATGTATTAAAACAAATAGTGATATAATAATTTTTATATTTTATATGTATTTAATATGAAATAAACATGATATAAATATACAAATTATTAATTTTACTTAAGGCCAATTTGATGTCTTGTTAAAAGGCTTAATTGAATGGTTAATATATTTTTTTAATATATATAAAATAAAAAATTTAAATTTAATTACATATAATTATTATTAATTAAAAGGTAACATCCGATAAAAATAAGATTCAAATTTTCAACACATTTAACCATTCTTTTTATCTTCTAACTGAAACCTCTTAAAAAAAACCGAACGAAATAGTGTAAAAATGGTCGATTTTTGCAACAATATAGATGCAAACTTACTAGCATATGCGTGTATCCAACTCAACTAAGAATTAGCAACAATATCTGTATGTTTGTGAACCAAAAAGAATGTCAAATATCATGCCCGCTATCTTTGTCTGCCCAACTGCCAACCAACATCAATGCTTTACTACTAACTGCCAAAGTAACACGATTGGCTTTGCTTGAATTGAGAATGAAGAAACTTTAAACTGTGCCTTTCTTAGCTTGCCTACCAGTAATCATGTGACATGTACGCATATGAAAAAAAATAACAAGGATTAAAATAAAAAGGGAAAGAGAGTAAAAAAGGGGAAAAGGCAGCATAATTTTATAGCTGGATCATCATCCTCAATCGATCTGCAGATGGAAAAGAAGGGTCCACTAGGAGCCACCAGCGTTGACGCTAGTGTTACGGATTTAAAGGGGAGTTCTGAATCTCACATCAAACATAATAAGATGGTCACTAGAATATATAAAGGTTCACACCACTTCCACCTTGTGAGGTGCCTTTTGTAGGACAAAATCGTGAGGTTAAGGGATCAGAGCGGACAATACTTCACAAGGATGTGAACCGTGACAGGTAGACTGATCTTAGACGTCGAAAGGGTGAATGCCAAAGTCTCGGAGCTGCACAGGCTGATTTGGGACGCCGGAAGGGTGAATGCTCGGGTCCTGGAGCTGCACGGGTTCGGAGCTTAAGTCTCGACCAGTAACAAATGGTATCAGAGCTAACTCTAAACCGTTCAATCCACGCCAAGCACCTCGAGGAAGGTAGGCAGGGTGGCCAACCTCCGTGACGACGGTGTCACGAGGTTGGGTGCGGGAGAATGTCACGGACCTAAGGAGGAGTCTTGAATCCCACATTGAACATAATAAGAGGGTCACTGAGGTATAAAAGGGTTCACACCATCTCTTTCTCGTGAGGCGTAGGGTCACTGGGGTATAAAAGTGTTCACACCATCTCTTCCTTGTGAGGCGCCTTTTGTAAGATAAAATCGTGAAGTCAAGAGAGCCAAAGCGGACAATACCTCACAAGGGTGTAAACCGTGACGGAAGGCTGATTTGAGACGCCAAAAGGGTGAATGCTCGGGCTTCGAAGTCGCGCGGATTCGAAACTTAAGTCTCGACCCATGACACTAACACTTAGACAAAGGATAACATTATAGGAAAGGGCCCAATGGCCCAACTAACAAACCAACAGTCTTTTACATCAAGAAAAACTTGTTTCTTAAGGTACGCAGTAGCAATCAAAACCCAAAAACTTTGCCTGAAAAATCCATACAAGTAAAAGCAAAGCAAAGCAGTTGTTTGACATCTTTATTTGTTCACACATCCACTCCAAATCTCCGCTGTTTTTCCTGCTTTTCCAAGCAATCTAGTTGCTTTAACAGTGTCATGGATTTCTTTCCCCCCTCTCTCTCCATTCATTTCCTCCAACTTTCCCGAGAGACAAATATTGAGCTAACAACTATGTTTTGCTGACTAAACTCGCGCATTTTACCTAACTTCATTCTCTCCTCTCCTTGATAAAACCCCCCTCCCCCTTTCTCTTCCTATTAACACATCCAAACACGAAGGACCACTTCCTCCCAATCCCCACCCTGATCTTCCCTTCCATTTTGCATTGTTTTGTTGCCAAAGCAACAATTTCCCAACATCCCAAAAGGAGGTAGAAACGATGATGATAATGAAGCAACATCAGATCTTGACTCTCTCATGTTTCATTCTCTTTTTCCTCCATTGCTCGAGAACCTTAGCCCAAGCTCCGGCCCAGGCTCCGGCGCCACCTGGTCCCACTAATGTCACCAAAATCCTTGAAAAAGCCGGCCAATTCACCATCTTCATTCGACTTCTAAAAGCCACCCAAGTCGCCAACCAGCTCTTTGGTCAGCTCAACAATACAAACAATGGGATAACCATTTTTGCACCATCAGATAATGCTTTCTCAAGCCTCAAATCCGGTACCTTGAATTCACTCACCGATGAACAGAAGGTGGAGCTGGTGCAATTTCATATTATCCCAACATACCTCTCATCGTCCCAATTCCAAACTATTAGTAACCCTTTGAGAACACAAGCTGGAGATAGTGGCGATGGTAAGTTTCCTCTCAATGTCACCACTTCAGGAAACACAGTCAATATAACAACAGGGCTGACAAACACCAGTGTTTCTGGCACTATTTACACCGATGGTCAGCTTGCTGTTTATCAAGTCGATCAGGTGCTTCAACCTTTGCAAGTATTTGCTCCTAGGCCTCCAGCTCCAGCACCTGCACCCGCAAAATCTAAGAAGAAGAAGGCTGCTGCCATTGCTGGTAGCCCCGATAACACCCCAGCTAATAACTCCAAAACCGTGAGCCTCACCATGCAAAATGTAGTTTTGTTTGGAGTTAGTGCTATAGTTATTGTACTTTCTTTGTGACCATAAAACAAAATTGGTCATTTTGACGGGAGGTGGGAATTGAGGTGGGGGCTCCAGCTCCATGATTTTCGATGGGAATGGTGGAGGTCAAGATGGTGAGTGCATTTTTTTTTTTAAAACTTTTTTTTTCAATAATTATCGTTTAAATTTCTGTTCTATCGTTTTGTATCATGCCAGTCTGTTATGAGAGTCAATTGCTATCAAGATTGAATTTTGAGGTTTTTCTTTTTCTTTTGTGCTTTTAAGTTCATTTGTTTTTATTTTAAAAATTTTCATTGTAAGATTTCTTTCTCAACTATATATCCCTTGTAATTGTGAATTTTGTGGCACTTTTTTTTTTCGAAGACTTTGTATCATCGTATGTCACTATATGGTCATTGATTTCCTTCGAATGCACAATTCTCCCTTGCATCATTTCTAAATAATTATTTTATAGATTTTTCCTACCCTATCAATTATTATATTATAAGTATTGTTTCAATATTTTATAAAAAATAATCAAGGTATCTAATTTTTTTTTTAATAATTGAGATTGTAATTATTGAACTCTAGTCACTAAAGATATCAATTGGTGGCCCTACTCAGATCTTCAATCAAAATTTCCTAGCTTAGAAATATCTTTCTCGCTCAAATTATTACTTAATTAACAAAAAGTTTTTCTATTTAATTTTAATTTTAAAATATATTTAAAATATAAAAATAATAAAAATATTTTTATTTTTTAATCCTTTTAATAGTTTCAAGCCGTTGGTTAAAGTTTTCAAAGGTCGATTGGGTGTTCTACTAGTCATTTGAATTAAAAGTTTAACTTTTTACCAACAAAGCATACAATTGTTCAAGTCAAAGAATTTTAATGTCATATATATTATCATAATTACATATTTAATTATAATAAACCATTTAAAAAAAAAAACCATAACTCATATATTAAAAAAATTATATATTTTTTTAATCATCTATACTAATTATATAAGTTAAAGTTTTGGGATAATTTTCATGAGATCATCTACATATTTTTTTTGATCCACATGAGATCATTTATATAGTTACTCTTTCATAGTATGATATATGGGAATTCTCACTGCTTAACGACAACAAGATGGAATTTTGTGGATATTAACAAATTGTTTGTCCAATTTAAATGCCTGTTTAATTTGATTACAACTTTCTCATGTTTCTCTCTAAAATTAAAAATATTATACAAACAGAAAGATACGAAAGTACCCTTTGATTACCCTTAATTTTTTCTTTTTTTTTATAAAAATAAATTAAAAGATATAAATACCCTTAATTTTATTTTATTATTGTGATTTTTTTTTTGGTTTTTATGTTAATTTCTTAATTGAATTGATGTCACTTGACTATTTTTTTCAATCTTTATTATTATTAAAATATTTGATTAAGTTTGATATTTCAAATCAAGTGAGATCAATTCAATCAAAAAATTATCAAAATACCAAAAAATGAAATAACAACAAATCACAAAAATGGAGTTAATTATGCCTTTTACTTATAAAGTATTGTTTTTCAGTTACGTGTATTTAAAAAAAAACTACCCAGAGGTTACTTTAAAAAATCCCCCCCCCCCCCCATCACATTTTTTTTTCTTTCTTTCGGAATAAAATTTTTTATTTTTTCTTTTTCACCCATTTTTTTTTTGGATATGCCAAAATCTAATATAGTGTAAATTTAAGCGAGACTCGTGATATATAGCCCAATGTGAGGCATGTTGGGTTCATAATTGTCCTAGCGTGCGTACCCTAGTAGCCTAGTGAAGGCCCAAATACTTTTCCGTGTATTTTTTATATACAAATAAATCGAAATTAAATAAATTAAATAAGTTGCTAACTTATTCAAATAATGACAAGATATGTCATATCCACTGGAATTACGCATTCGAGATTAACCTTAAAGAAAAATCGTTGGATTTAGAATTTGAATATTTATATTAAAACAAATAAATATCCCTTATTGATAGGTAATAGATTTTTGGATCTGCAAACATTGCTATTAAGAATTAAAAAAAAAAATAATGAGTTAAGTTTATACACCTTATATATACATGTATTTCGTGTTAAAAAATTAAAATAATAATATTTATTTTCATTCCAAGTTAATTTTTTATTAGATGAAAATGAATGTTATCGCTTAATCAATTTTAATTTAATAAAAATTTAATTGATAAGAAATTAAAAATAAATATTTAAAATTCTAATTGATTATTATGAAATGAAAAAAATTAATAATTATTGAATTTTATTTCTAAAACTTTTTAACCATTTTGCCATACTTTATTGTACTATATTTTGTAAACATGCTGCGTGACGAGAAGCCTTTTTAATTGGAAGTGTGCAGTTGGATGGCCTACCGATTTTTTCTGGAGGATCCAATGCTATCGATTTTGTTTGAGAAGTCCTTTTAGTACGAAGAAGTTATTTCATTTTATTATTTCTATATATTTTAAGTTAAAATTATCAAAAATTGATTAATATTAATATATCACAAAATTATTAATCGAAAAAGTTGTTTTGACAACTGACTAATATAAATTATAATGGTAAAAATGTAAAATGTATATGTTATGAGAAAACAAATTTCATTTTTACATATTTATAACTCAAAATTAAACAATGAAATTTATATACCAAATAAAAATAAAATTATTATTCTACACATCAACGAAAAAAGTTTTTAATTGTAAATTTCTATAATTGTCACCTATTTATTCAATAATAAATACTCTTTCCTTCTTTTTTTTTTTTTTTAATCTTTTTGTAGATGTTTCAAAAAAATTTTTGAACGTTTAAAATTTTTATTTTTTATATTTTAGAATTATTTTATGATTTTTTTTATTTTTTGATATAAAATCATGAAATTTTAATTTTATAAAAATTTAAAATTTAATATTAAATACATTAAAATCAACTTTTTTTTTTAATTTCTTAAAAATTAATAACAACCGAACAATTTGAGAGGGAAAGAGTAATTTATTAATATACCTAAATAAACATGGTGACAACTCTTTAAAAATTTCATTGAAAATGTGTATTGGATGGTAATCCAATAAAATCATCTATTTGTATGGTCAGATAAAAAACAATTGTGAATAATTCTTCCATCAATTTCACATCACAAAAAAATTAATTAAATATTGAACATTATAATCATAAGATAACAAGAAATTTGATGTATTTTTAATTTAATTTAATTAATTTATATAATTATCTAACAATTTTTAAATTTTTTTTTATTTTTAAGTTACTCTCTTTTATAAAAGAAATAGTAATGATCAAGAACAGCTAAAAAGGTCAAATGGAGAGAACTTTGTCTCAATCGTTAGATATTTGATTTTGGTGGGAAAAGTAATAAGAGGAAGATGAACAGCTAAAGTCCTTCTCATAAAAGCAGGACACGTTGCTTCTTTCACATATTGGTAGAATGAATTTTCAACTTCAAATCATGGTTACACAAAAACCCAATTAACTGGAATCATTTCATATAAGTTTTTATTATAATTTTATAATTAATCAATTATATTAAAAACTTATATAATAATTCATCACTTATAAATATAAATTTTATATAAAATTTCTATAAATCTTATATAATTTTAAATTAGTATTAATTAATTATATTATAATGATTATAAGTAATATGCTCTCAATCAACAAACATTAACTCAATTGTATCCTACCTTTTCTTTGTTATTTACATTTTTATGAAATACGATGAATTAGATATTAATATTAATGTCAAACATTTAATTTTATATGCATTCTACATAATATCTAAAGTAATATTAAAGTGTTTGATTCGGTTGGTGTCGACACTAATTCAATTGTGAAAATTATAAAATAACCCAAATTAGTTATAATAAAATTAAATTAAAGATATTTATATTTTATTTTTAAAATTATTATTCACTGACAGATCACTCTAATTTTTTTACATGTTTTTCTTTTAAAATACAAGATTTTAATAGAAAATTATAAAGTTATAAATTAAAGTGGCATTCCAGTTAACCAGTCTAGCTCTGTCGCTATATGTTAACATGATATATCAAAATGGTGAATAAAGTATGTGAAAATAGCATTAATACGTGTTGTTTAAACTAATTTAAAAAAATAGCGGATTAATGAGAGTGATAGCTTTGATTACATTATTAAATCTCGTAGAATTTTGCACCGAACAATGATTAATGTGAACCTGTGCTAACTTTTAGAAAAGAAGTTAAGTCTTCTTATTTTGAGATTAATTATCAAAATAATAATGCACTTCTAAAAGGTAACTCACTGTCAATCATGCAAGCAGGTGGGCTACTAATTAGGGCTGTGCAAACGGTTGAATAAGTTTTTTCGATGCAAAGTTTTTGAAAATCAACTTAGTTGATTTAATATTTAATGATAACCGAATTGACCAATCATAATAAAATAATTAAAATTAATCGAATTGATTTATTTTTATCGATTTAATTTTTAAGTTGCATAAAATTTTAAACAAAAAAGGCAATCCACCTGAATCAAGACAACAATGATTGACAAGAAAAATCAGAGACATCCACAAGAGTCCAAACCCAAACCGAGAGACATAAAAAGCATTCAAAATAAAACACGATACTTTAGAGCTTGATTCCACTTTCCACTCAAAAATCTTTTTTTTTTTTTTTTTTGCTAATTAACAAATGTAAGAGTCCATATGCTAATTCAAGGCTAAGCGGTAAGCACACATGCAAATAAAACGAATTCTGCAGTGATTTAAAAGCCAATAAATAAAGCAAATAAAACAAATTTGTTGTTTAATTCACAACTTTTGATGGTCGGATGCAGTGATGCTTGCCTCTTGGTGCTGGATCCATCGTTTGGCTCTACTACTCTTCACTAGTGTCGCACTTACTGATGGAGGAAGAAAATATTACCGTCAATGGTGGTAGAGTAGTTTTTAGATTTGTGACTGTTGTCTGTCATGGCTATTGGGTGACTTAGAGAAACTGAAAAAGAGAAAATAGAAGAAGAAGGGCAAAAGGCTGGTGGTGTTATGGGCTGGTCACTGGTAGGATTGGGTGGTTGGTGGCTGCCCATTGTGAGATGAGACGAGAAGTGGAGACTGACAAATTAATCGGAGGAAATTAAAGGATGGACTAGGTTTTCAGTAAACAAAAGCCAAAAGGGGTGAACTAAAAAATATAAAACATATTATTAATATTTCAAAAATTAGTTTTTGGGTTGGCTCGATTTTAAATTCTAAAATAAAAAACCAATCAATTAAACTGTTTAAATTATGAGCCTAACCAAAATAATCTTATAATTCGATTGATCCGACTCGATTTTCTTTAAAATTTTGACCTTGGTCAATTTTTTTTTTCAATTTTAACCGAATTTTGCTATACCTTAAGCATCTTCAACATGTGACCCACCTATAGTATCTATTCATGCATAACTTTATATAAAACTTTGTTTATTAATCAAATACTGTTCAAGTATTAAATTTATGATTTAATTTAATTGATTTGCATAATTATTTTTAAAATATCACATTTAATAGGTTTAGTGTTTAAATTTTAATATTTATAATTTTTTTTTCTATATTCAAAATACAATCTCTTTAATAAAAAATCTCAATCATTAATTAATTATTAATTAAATAAAAATATGAAATCAACCATTAATTACATATTTTTTAAATATTATCTTAATCAATGTCTAATACATTGATTAAAATTTCTTTATTAAAATATAAAAATATCGAATCCTAATTCTAAAATTAAAAACATAAAATAAAAAATTAAAACATACAAATTTATATTAACGGGTGTTAATTGTCAATAAAAAAGGTATAACAGTAAAACATATAACAAATGCTATACTAACAAATATACATTTACTGACTATCTTGAACCATAAGTATATATTTATAGACTATTTGGATACCTTAAAAACTATCAGTATAAATTTATATCAACAAGAAATATATTGAAGGTTAAAAATTCATCAAAATATATATTTTAATCAGCGGTATATGATTTATTGTGCTATACTGATAGATTTTGAGGTTTTACCGATATTTTTTTAAGTGTTATTATATGTTAGATTTTTTATAGTGTAAGCATTATATGTATTGAAAAGGGATAAAAATTGAAAGATTTTTTTAATAAGAGATTATGCTAGTAGACAAATTCAGGATTCTAAAATACACACTTATTTTTTTTTAAAGTAGTTTTCATTTTTTTTAAAATTTTGAGATAGTTAAAAATTAAAGTTGATTATTATCTTTCTAATAATATGAAAAAGCGATGAGTACCCAAGATTCTTTGGTCTTTTATCGATATTAATGTAATGTGGAATTTTTTTTTCTCTTCTCAAAATACAAGCACAACTTCTTGGTATGACACTTGCAAATGCAAAGCAGAATTTAGTCTCTTTAAACTTTATATATATATATATATATGTATATATAGAACGCAAGATCATATAGGTATAAAATTAATTTAATTTTACATTATTTTATAATTTTTATATAATTTATATTTATTTAATTTAATCGTTCTATTTATATAAATAATGCATGTCAAATTTTTAATTATTTGTTGATATAAAACTTTCATCCATTAACTATGTTGTAAAATTTAACTATCAATTTTTAAAATAAAATCAATTTTAAATTCAAAACAAAGTTTATAATTGAAAAGAAACATATCAACAATTTGAATTTTAAGATTTTATGTTCAAATTTTGTATTCAAATCTTAAAAAAGACATTATAAAATTTATCGAAAGAATTACTTTCAATCATATTATTATATAGCTTAAAGCCATCATGTTCCAAATGAAAAGACTATTTTAAAGAACGTGTGAAAATTTTTTTTTACCAACGGTGCGTGTTATTTATAAGTAAAATGTTGAATCCAATCTATCACGGTATCAAATACGAAAACAGAAAGTGCCTTTTGAGCTTGCAATTTGCCCAAACATGAAATGGAGCGTGAACATACATAAAGCTTGTAAAATGGTCACAGCCGTCACAGTAGAGGAAAAAGTCAGTACAACAAGAGGTCACAACCATGTGTAACCCTAGCAATAGCTTTAATTAATTAGCTTTCAACAAATAAAAAACAAAATGAAAAATACTACCACTACTGTACTAGTAATAAAAAGGTGAAGATTCTACGTGCATGGAGGGCCCAAACACTGCCATTTCTGTTTCTCTTCAGTCTCTTACACAACGCATTCCAGTGGCCCCCCCCCCCCTCCCCCTTTCTCATTCACAAAACTCCCCTTCCCAGAGTTCACTCGCTGCCGCTTCAATTCTTCCGAGTACTAACTCACCACTAATCTCCATTTTTGCTAGCTACAGCTCCTAATTTTCTTAAACATGCGAGCCTACTTAATTTAATAATGTAATTGCCCTCAAAGGCTAGCATGCAGCTTAATTATGCACTTTGAACTTGCTCTCCACCACGCTAAAGTGTAATCAACTCCATGGATGAACTGAACCCATTGATGCAAACTTGGCAAGCTCTTGTTGCAAGAATGGTTTGCTCGATTCGACTCCCACACCAAGAAAATCCCTGGTTAAGCTTGCTTCGACTTCATTTGAATTGCTGTTCAACTTTGATAGGACAGTTTGGCCACCTTGTTTTCCATTACCTTGCATCATCAGATTGTCCGCATTATTCTTGGTGGTATTACTGACAAATGAGCTCGAGTTTAAATCATCTAATGTAGACCCATCTTTCATAATGGCAGCTGCTTGAGTTGAAGACAATGAACTCACCAGTTCGTTTATGTTCTTGTAAACTTCATTCTTGTTCTGATAATAAGCATTGGAACTCGATATAGTTGTGGCGGATGAGCACATTAACCCAAAGCCGCTGTTATTGAAAGCTGGGCTGCTTCTTGTTGGTCCCATTTGGGCTGCTTTTTGCAGGAGTGCAGTGGCTGACATGTGAGTGTGGCTTTGTTGGAGATTATTCCGGGTATTGTTCGAATACAAAGATGTTATGGATTCAGACAAATCTTCCTTGTTCTCTTCTTCTTCTTTTGGCCCTCGTGGCAATGCTGACATATTGAGGTTGGCAACTGGAAATGATGCTTCTGGGTACTTGCTTAGCCATTGTGTCTGTAATAGTGATCCAAACATGTTCATTGGTGCTATTCCTAGGTCAGTCAAGCATGCAGATTTTGGTGCTAAGGAAGCGTTAGCATCACTTGGAACACCAACTGGGTTAAGTGGAGAATTAGCTGGGTCGAGCCATAATTGTAGCCTTGGCTTTTGCCCATTTGAATTCAGATTGTCGACGAGCTCTGAACCAGCAAACTCTGGCTTAAAGCCTGATGAAAACTGGTGCATCCCTGTGGGTTGAGCATTGTTATTGGCCCCATTTATCAAATCATGTCTAAAGGTTGCTGGATTCATAGTCGTTGAAACCGAAGTGAATCTGTCACTTTCTTCAGCTAAAGCATCGCAGAAAGCTCTATGAGTGATGAAGCTATCCTTTCTGTATGATAAAAAGAAAAAAGAAAGAAATACAAACCCATTTCAACTTGTTAATTGAGAGCTGATATATAGACCTTTTGGGTCAGACCTCATTAAATTTAAATGTTAAATCTATCACGAATGGCCTCAATATTGTTAGCATTTAGTTCTTCAACAAATTAATAATATGAAGTAGAAATAGATATAGTAATTAATTCAAACCAACAGAGATGCATAAACTATATATATTGAATTTGCATTACCTGGAAAAGAGAGTTCCACAGTCACATCTATACTCTCTAGTGCCACAAATCTTGCTATGAGCTTTCCAATCCGACTGGACTGCATACTTCTTTGAACATTTCTCACACTTCCATTTCTTTTCACCATGTTTCCGGCTAAAATGTTTCTTTATTCCTGTGAGATCTCCTAGTGCTCTCGATGGGTCATGGTGGACGCAGGTCTTTTCAGGGCAGATGTAAACCTTTTTTCTAACTTCTTTGTTTGTTCTTTGCTTGAGCTTCCAAGGCAGATTGTGACCTCTCCTATGGAGTTGTAAGTTCTGGTCCCTTTGAAAACCCTTGTTGCAGATTTCGCAGAGGAATCTGTTGGTTGCCATGAGAGATTTTGGGGACAAAGCTATCACTTCTGCATCTGGATCTGCTTAATTGAATTTAAAAAAAGCCATAAAAACAACAATTAAAGAAGATATAAGTTAACGGAGAAAATTAATAATATATAGACTTGCCTGGTGTCCCTGGCAAATTTCTTTTCTTCTTAACTGGATTAGCGGTAGGGTTAGGGTTTGGTTCTTGAGCTAACCCTGGGATAGTTGAGGGAATAGAAAGCCCGTCCTGAGACATCATTTCTGCTACTTTGACGAATTCAACTACTGTTCTATCCTAAAGTAGCTAAACATTATAAACCAACTCCCCAAACTGAATCAGCGTTGGGCAAACTATTACTTCAAAACTGATGATGATGATACTACAAACATAAGTTTTTGCAACAAAGAAAACGCAACCCAACAAATCTCTCTCTCTCTTCCTTTTTTTTTTTTTAATTTTGAAACAAAAATACGATTGATTTTGAACTTGTTCTAACTCAGGGAAACAAATTTTTTTGGGGTTTGGCTGAAGAGCTTGTTCAGTTTTGGCTTAAAACCCAGAAGAAAGCACCAAAAAGAAAGGTAGCTGGAGAGAATATTTTCTTTCCCATCTCTTTCTCTCTCCTTATCTTACACGGCTTCTCTCTCGAAGTCAGTCAGCCATAGACTCAGCTGGACCACCTTTATATACAAAAGCTACTAATACTTCTATATATTTCTATATATTTGTTGTACTTGTATTAAAATGCTATGTGTAAGAGCAAGAAAAGGGATTAGATGGGGAGAAAAAAAAAGTGGGAACTACTAAAAACCAAAGGTTGAATAATGAGGCATGGGGAAAACCTGAAGCTAGGCTTGCATTATTATTTAAAGAAAGAGAAGAGAATTATCTAGAAAAGAATGTTTAGTAATGTAGAAAAGAGAGAAGTTGAAAAAGATTGAATCAAATTGATTTGAAAAGGGAGTGGTTGAGAGAGAGAGAGAGAGAGAGAGAGAGAGAGAGAGGGTGAAAGAAAAGTGAGTTGCCTTTACTGCCAGCCAGTTTGATAAGGTAAAAATGATTGTGCTATAATTGTAGCAAGAACCATGAAGATTTTCCTATCAAGAAAAAAAAAGATAAAGGTAAAAAGATCGAGAGGGGGGTGCGGCCCGTGAGAGGTGAGTGGGCAATGGCCAATGGCCAATGGGGAAGGGACCCACAAAAGAAAAGACATTGTCAGTGGGAAAGAAGATAGATACAAAGATAAGAGACATAGAGCAGCACACTCTCTCACTCACAATTTACTCTCTTGATATTCGCTACCTCACTTGCTGCCTAAGCCAAGCTTTGGGCTTTGGCTGCCAAAAAAATAATTGAGAGAATCTTGTACGAGTTGACTCAGTAATCCAGTTCATCCATTAAACTAGTTGGAGTAGTTGTTGTGGTACATAGTGTACGAGGATAAATATCCGTGTTTCTTTTTGGGATTTATATAAATTTAGATGTAATTTTTTATTGAATAAAATAATTTAAAAATATTTATTTTGAAATTTATATAATCTAATAAATGAATATCGTAATTTAAAAAATATATAATCTATTTAATTTAGATATAATTTTTTTAAATAAACAAGATAATTGAAAAAAATCTTTGTGTTACATGTATTATTATGAAATACTTTATCATCATCAAAAAATAATTTCAATATCTTAAAGATATAAATAAAGAAAACTTTACTTTTTGTTCAAATCACTTTAAAATTAAAAAGGCGAATATATTAATTCATTTCACTTAATAGTTAGATTTCTCTCTTATTTCACAATTTGTCTTTCCATAATATGTAAATTATCCCATCATTTCAAAAATTTTCTAACATCAATTTTAACTTATTAAGATTTCATTTGGATGAATAATAAGATTAATTTTAATTATATTAAAAAAAATAATAAAATTTATTGTAATTACGATTGAAAAAAATATTATAATTATGATTAAAAAATTTTAATAAAAAATTTATATTAATTTAATTTCATTAAAATTAATATTTAAATTTAATTAAAGATATAATAAATTTAATCGTACTGCACAAAAAATGCAATAGGATCTAAACAGCTACTAAATCATGTATACAACATTCATTTAATGGTTAGAGGTTAGATTAGATGTTACTTGACTCGTTTACTTTGGCTCACCTTTTGGCTGTGAAACACTGCTACTTACTCGATTTTACAAGTTACAACCTTGTTCATGTGTGTCTATCTCAAATGATTGAACAGATTTAATTACACTCAGCTAATCAACGAGTAGGGTCAGTTAATAAATTCCTTTGTCTCCACAATAAATGATTTCCTGTTCGTGTTTTATACATCGATGATACTTAATTTGTCTGATTAATATCGTAAAATATTTAATATAATAATAAAAATTTGAATTATAAATATGTTAATTAATATAATTCTTGTTTTTAATGTAATTAATTTTAAATGATAACAAATGATAAATAAACAACATTTCAAATATCTCATTAACAAATTAATAGTTTATATATCATAATAGAAATTTTTGAATTTTAAGTACCATATTAAAGATTTCAATATAATTTAGAAATCATTCATAAATTGTCCATAATTTATTCATCATGTCTTAAAAGCCTAAGCAGTTCATCTATATCTGCTTTTTTTCTAAATTTTTGTTCACAATGAATTAAATTTTGGGTTAATTTAAGAATGTTGGCAAGCTTTTGTTGTTTTGTTTATATACTTGAATATTGTTGATGTAATTTATGATTTGATGAGAGTGGAGCTCGCTAAAAGTTGAATTAAAAAAAGCATTAAATCTATCACAAAAAATAAAATCAGAGAGCGTTTAGCATTTTGAGTTGCATTTAAATGCTCTCGTTAGCATGTGTTTTAAGAGGAAGGAAGCAAAGGTAGCATAGGGAACTAGAGAGACTGCAGAGTTGAGAATGTTGCATGCTTGTTGCTAGGTTTGATTTTTCATTTATATCTCATGGATGACGATGTAGTTGAACTATCAATTTATCATAATAAATCAAGCTTTTAGAAAATTAGCTCCCAAATCAACCCTCCATAAATTGTGGTATTTCTTAGGTTTATTATCACTTGCATAGCAGCTATAAAATTAAAGGGAAATTATATTGTAAACAAACTCGACAAAAATATTACTCTTGGTCTTTTTAAGAGACAAATGGGGGGGCGAGAGAGAAGCTTCCTTTGCTAGCAAAAGTAGGCTTTGAATTTTAAATTTTCGAATGGGGAAAAATTGCTTTCAAACTTTATATAACAATGTTTCCTACGAGCTATAGCAAGAGGATTCAAATTTTCAAAAATGGTTTGTTTTTTATTCACATGCAGAATCCAACCAAATGTACTAACTATTCATATATGGATAGATGCTCTTTGCTGTAGAAAAAGCTTTTTTTCTCTGTTTGAATTATGGATTTTAGCCTATTTGCATGTGAATTGAAATCATCTCACTTTTTAACGTGGCCAACGAACCTTCCCATTTGCCAATGTTCATACTGTCTGCAACAAAATTTTTTAAGTGTGAAATAGACCTGAAACTGCAATTTGAAATGGCAGTTTAATTACCAGCTAATTAAAGACTAATCATAGAAAAAAATTTCTACGGAATGCCTTAACAGCATTTTTTAAAGCTACCATATAAAATAATAAGTTCAAAAAATCATCAACAATATTATCAATTATTACATTTAATACAAAATTATTATTATAAATAATATATTAAAATTTAAAGAGTGCCTAAAGGCACTCACAAAACCCGTTATATAATTGCATAAATATTATAGTTCTTATTACCGGAAGATGTAGTTTTTTTTTTTTTTTCTTCTTAAATTAAAAGTGCGAAATGGAATAATTGATACTAAAAAACCTATAGCTTGTTAAATTTTCCGATGAAACCTTGTCTTAATAATATTGTAAGTTGTAAAATATTTAAGTCTCACATATATATATATATATATATATATTGTTAAAAATATTTTTAGCAACATTTTTGTATAGTTTTCACAGCACTTCTTTTTGTAGATTTGATTGAACTAAACAAATTTGTGGCAGCACTATGAATCAAATGCAATCATAGAAGTTGCATATTGTTGTTTACTTTTTTAAGATAAATTGTGTTGTTGTTAAATGCGAAGAAATGCAACCGAAATAGTTGTTCGTTTTAAGCTTTCTTTACATAAAAACAATAAGTGCAATTAAAACCCAAATTTGTTGCAGTTTATCATACTCTTTTTAATTATATCTATACTAATATTAAAGTGGTTTATTGAACCGAAAACTTATCTAAATTTATTTATACAATTATTTTTGAAATGTGACATCTAACAAGTTTAAAATTCAAATTTTAATACTTGTAATTTTTTTTATTTTTATATATTTTTATACAAAAAAAGTATCTTTTATATATAAAAAAATGATTAACTAAGTGTCATGAGTTAAACGGACATCAACTCAATTTGTAAGTTGACTTAAAAGTTAAATTAAAGTTATGATAAGATGGTCCTTTCCCTTTTGGTTTAATGGTTAAGGGGGGCTTTATGAGATCATAAAGTTCTTAGTTTCGAGTTACGATCTCTTCTCATTTTCCCCCTTGTAAAAGCTATGCCTTTTTTAAACAAAAAAAAGGAAAAAAAAAGTTACCATAATATAGATTTAAAAGGTATTAATGTCTTTTACATTTTTAAAAAACTACTCATATATATCAAATAACTTTTTCTTTTAATTCACTTTTTTCGTTTTAAAAGATAAAATATTAGAGGTGTTCATGAATTGTAACAAACATAATTGATAACTCAATATGCTTGTCCAAAATCTAGGTCCGTTTCGACCATTAAAATTCAATTAGGTCATTTTAATTTTAATTTATCATTAGAATATGAATATAATATTTTTATACTAATATTTTATATTAAAATTAAATATAAAACATTTATTTAAAAATAACATATATTCATGGGCCAATTGATCGAGCCTAAAAAGCATCTTTCGTCGTGGACAAGTATGATATATATTAGAATGTTAAACCTATTTTGCTGAGGGATTATTTTAATTATTATAAAAATAATTTTAGAAATTTTATCTTTTTCAATTCTTAGATTTTTAAGATTTAAAGAAAAAAAAATTTAAAAATCTCATATCTAGAGTTTTTTATACGGTGTTTGTCTTGATTGGTTGTAGTTAATTTTTTTTTTTTTGACATTTTTAGAAAAATCTCAAATCTAATGGTCTTTAGTTTTTAATTTTAAAATTTGTTTTTAGTGTTAGGAAAATGGGGTTTAGTCTCATGTAAGTGATTTTGGACCAAGTAAAAGTTATGAGCCTTGATCTTTCATTTTACACAGAGCCCTAGCTACTTAATAAAAAAGAGGTGGGGTTACTTTAAGTATGTGTCGAAAACCAAGTAGAGAAAGAAGAAAAGCCAAAAAAAGTAGAAAGAAAAAAGAGAAAGGAGAGTTAGTTGAACGGAGTCGATCCGTGGTCCAATTGAGTTGGAACCTTGTCATAAGGTTTATGATTCAGAGTTCTACATTCTAAACGGTGAAGATCGGGTTTGAAGCTCTTTAAGAATAAATCCATGGTGTATTTGTTGAGTCACTTATTTGGTGAGATTTCTTCAATTGTTTCTCTAGTTGTTGATTAGTTCTAGTTTTAGCTAGAGAATAACTTTGTATACCTATTATTTGATAGTGAAAATTTTTCTAGTGGTCCGTGATTTTTTTTCTCTATACTGAAGGATTTTTCACGTAAATCTTGGTGTGCTTTATTTTTTCTGCGTTTTTTTATTATTGATTGTTGTCTATTGCTTCTGTATTGT